GCGGGGAACTCTGCAAAAAACGCATCTTCGCACGGGCAGCCCGTGCGTTGGCCAATTTTTGATTTTATAGTTAGAGGAGATTTATAGAGGAGATTTAAAGAGATATAGAGGAGATTTTGATATAGAGGAGATTTTGACTTTGGTTGTTCTCTGCGCAAAACTTGTAATGCTAGTTAGTTCCAATTCCAATTCATTTCCTTGTTATTGTTGAGTTATTCCAAAAATATAATAAAAAAAAGCAACTTTGACATCGCTTACCTTATTAAAGCGTATTGTTTCCTGAGAGTAAATATAGAGGAGGTGTTGACTTTGATTGTTCCCTGAGCAATATTTGAAATGTTAGTTAGTTCCAATTCTGGTTAGTTTCTGATTTTTCCAATCTGTAAAAAAGAAAAAGAACTTTTCGCTAAGAAAAAGATGCTACTGTGCTGAAAGTAAAACTATTGCAACAGATTATGCTACTAGATTTTAAAAGGCTTACACTTCAAATACGGAAAAAAATGTTGTGTCGTCATGCAAAAACTTTCAATCACTTATAGTATTCTTGGCACTCTAAATTATCATTGTAATTGTTGTTACTATGGCTTTGTTTGTTACTGTTGTTATTATTACTATTATTATTACCATTATTATTGCTACCATTATTGTTTTTATTATTGCTGCTACTACTATTCCATCTTTGTTCCTAGCTTTATTAGTTTACAAAGTGCTCTGACTAAATTTTACGGGTAAAAATTTCAGTTTAATTTTGTTTACAAAAAAAAAAATTAATAAAATCAGTGCGCGATTCGTGTGTGCTTAGGAGTTAGTAATCCAGAGTGAAAAACTTCATATTTTACTCTAACACAAGCACATATTTCACCTCTGTTCTTATGTGTATTGCAAATCAAAAAAAAAAAATCTGCAACGTGAGAAAATTTGAGGTAAAAATCTGAAATTAACTGAAAAATGAATGAGTTAGCGCAAAGAAGATTGTTAGAAAAACTCGCGATTACTGAGCCAAGGAGGACGGTGTGAACAGGTGCAAAGTAGTATAATATTTTTATCAAAATGGCAACATTCAAAAACGAAAGAAAACTGCTTCAAAACATAACGAAACAGACAAATCACTGGCAAATGTCAGTGCGACAACCAAAGTATATATAAAACCAGAACTGTTGCTTCTGCACTGATGATGCTAAGGCGATTTTAAACAAACACCGCTGCGAATGCTAAGGTAAACCGTTCTTTGCGCCCACCTTCAGTTTATAAAAAGCGCCGATCTGGACATCACTGTGAAAAGATCTGCTGAAAAAATCTTCAGGATTTTCTTTTGAGGCAAAAGATCTGATTGTGTGCCCAGCTTTCGCTAAAAAACCATGAATCCTCTTTGCCCAAAAGAAAGTCCCCACAACTGAAGTTCTATCATATCTCTGCTGCTACACCTAACAGCTAAAGTTATTGGTAGGCAGGGCATGCCAGTAATGAACAGCGAATTGGCGCATCCATCTTTTCCCTTCAGTGCAAACTTTTCATCAAAATTTTCCTGGAACTCTGATCAACAAAGCAGCTGCGTGTAGTGAGTTTGAAAAATTTCGGATTTTTTTGCTAACCAGTGAAGTCATCAGCTGATAGCAGTGCTCTTTTACATCGTACTTTAGGCAGTGACGAAAAAACAAAGTCCTAAATCGCTACACTTAAAAAATTTCGAGGCAGTCGCTTCCTGTTTCCCACCAACGACAGCTTTACGTAACTCTTCTGCTGCTTGAACACGACATTTTCACTAGCTAAAGATATGAAACAGTTACAAATATCCTACTCAAAGTTACTAAAATTGGCCAATTCGCCAGATCCCGCGAACAAGCAACAGTATCAGCCACAACATGTTACAACAAACACCAAACCGACGCAAAACACAAGTACTACAGGAATTTGATTTTTGGAAGTAACAACAGCAAGATCAGTACCTGCCACAATCCATAACCACTAACCACCGCCAGTCACTACTAATTTATAAAAGTGCGATCACTTCCACATATCAGTGCAAGCTATAGGTAACAAAGAGGAGGAGTTTGTAGTCATTTTCAACAGGCCATTGCACAATAATCATTGCTTTTCGTTGAGAAATTTCAAAAAACGAATTTTTAAAGCAAAAAAAAAAGAGAGCACGGCAAATTTTCAAAAGCCGAAACTTTCTCAGAAATGCCTGGATATCCAAAAAATGCTTTTCTGTTAGATACTAATAAGATGAATAGTGGTGCAAATTAGAAAAAAATGTCCAGTACCAGTACTTGTTATCATCAAATATCACCAATTAAAGTGACTGCAATCTACGACTGGTGCGGCTGTTCAAATCAATTCATTAAATTCAACACGTTACATTCAATCAAAATAATTCTCTAGCTGCAGGATTTGGGAGCTTATTTGTGAAGGAAAACGATAAGGAATCATTCCCACGTACAAAATGATTGCTTTGGCACGAAGGCGTAAATCATCACTGGCCTCCGACCTCCGCGTCACTTCCTCCAAGATCAGTTTCATCACTGCCATGCACAAATCCGGTAACACTAATCGCATCTGCAATAACTGCCGTTATTTGCCAAAAATTTTTAACGCATCTGAGCAAACAGGCCCGTCCGTTTTCGTCAGAGAGGGAAATCGTCAGAACGCGGAAAATCTGAAGGGGAACAATCAGAAAAACGTAAAATGTGTTGCACAAACAATGCATAAAGTCAAATAAGGAGACTTAATTGATAAAGGAAAGGAAGAAAAGCTCGCTACGGTCAAAAATAGCAAATTCTGATGCCTAACATGTGAAATTCAGGACGGTTAAGCACCTGATGACTTGACTAAAAAAAACAAATTTTTGTAACAAAAAAAAACTACTGACCTGGTCGGAAACCATGTAAAAAGTGGACACAAATGCTTGCACCTCATCTGGATCTAATGGTAAGCATTTTAGCTTCTTTATTATTTCCATGCACGCCTCAAACCTGAAAATACGCTTTACATGTAATAATGGGCTTCTAAGAGACCACTTTCAACAGTTTATTAAGAATACTTGAAACTCTGACTCAAAAAATACGAAAAAATTTAGTAAGGCTACTGTTATGCAAGACGTACTCCCACACAACGCAATACCTCGTGGCAAGATCGCTTGGTTCTCTGTTCTCTCACTATTACTGAGAGAGCAGACTAAAAAACCGAACTGGCACATAATTATCGATTTTACAAAACCAAAAATTTGTTGGCATAGCTGTGCCTGACTCGTGGAGGCATGCATTTCACTAACGTCAACAACATGGGATTCTTACGTCAAGCGTCCGGAGAATCCTGGCAAACTTATTGCAGATTTATAGCCCAACATAACCCCGATTCTTTTTTTTGGTATTAAAAAAGACATAACACTCTAAAAAACACACAGCACTTCAAGATTTTTGGCGAAAGACATAACACTCATAATACTTTTTTTGGTATTCGTAAAGCTATCCAGGAACACTGGCCGAATTCAATAAATTTACTGGGAATAATGAAAAAAAACAAAATCGGACAGGCAAGGCATGTTGATCGCTTTGCTGGCATGCACTGGTATAGGGTATTTGTGAGTGGTATCCACAAAAAAATAAAAGACCGCTGAAGCGATTTCCACAGGGATAGCGTACAAACATCGAGAAGACGGCGGTAGGATTAGATCTAAAGGCCTGGCACAGCTGCGTCCAAAGTCTCGAATCACCCCATAACATCCATAACGTGGCATCATCACATCTAATATCCATTAGTCCTGATATTCCAAATTATGAAGCAATTTACGGAAAAATTAAGTGCACATTTGCAGCTTTAATAACCTAATGCAACGTGAATTGCATGATAAATTGTACTTAATTACTTTTTTACATTGCACACCGTTATTGTTAATGAATACGCTGCCCTGTATACTGATAGCGTATTAAATGATGCAGAAAATTATTTTTTAAAAAAACAATGCAACTCAAAAATTCAAAAAAAAAAAATTCGGAAAAAACTTACTTTTCAGCATGGTAATACTGGAAAAATGTGGATAAATCGATGAGAAGATAGAGATTGGACTGAGCTTCCAATGTGCTCACACCCGCTGAACGTTTGCAAATACCTGCAAGCCATATAGCAAGCTTCCGAGCTTCGCCGTCATCTATGTGCTGTGTCATTTCTTTTGCCAAGCCATCACATGCTAATCGGATTGAGTCGTCCAACCGCTAAAAAAATTTCATTTAGTCAACTGTCTATTTTTTAATTATTTTTATGATAAAGCTCTTTGTGGGATTCAAAAGACTTCGATTTTGCAAGAAATCTGCACAAGAAATCCGCACAAACATTCATCCGACCAATTTTTATGCGTTTTTTGCAGTTATGCAATGCAGAAAACGCATATCGACGTGTGTGCGTCTGCCACGCTTTTTCATCTTAAGACCTACAAAAGCTACAGGAACTTAATCTACATGCACGTACGGGCCCCAATCCCCAAAATAGGCGCCATTACCCGCGTGGTACCCACGTAAGAGCCCGCCAAAGTTTTTTACGGGTAAGCTGCTAACTCGCAAACCAGAAGCGCTTGAGGGCTGAAATTTTAAGGGGATTTTCCCGTCCAAGTAGGTACTAATGAGCTCAAGCCCAGTCCCCGGGTAAGCGTGGTACCCGCGTACGACCCCGTCAAAATTTTTTTCGGGTAAGTTCATAACTCGGGGATCTGAGATGCTAGAATGCTGAAATCTTAGGGGGATTTTCTCCGTGTAAGTAGGTATTAATGAACTCAAACCCAGCACCGGGTATGCGTGGTATCATGTGCGGGGCTGTGAAAGTTTTCTTCCAGTAAATTGCTAACTCAGGAGCCAGGAAAGCTAGAAAGCTGAAGTTTTAAGGGCGTGCATCCTGACAGTTCTGGCGGCCAGTCTTAATTTGTTTAGCTAGAAGCATTTGCCGAAAAAACCGGTGC